GAGAGAGAGAGAGAGAGAGAGAGAGAGAGAGAGAGAGAGAGAGAGAGAGAGCTGTTGACACCACAGGACACACCAAACAGTTTTTTTCGTCTATTATTTTAGTAAGACTTTTACGGCATTTGCAACACAATTAGGTCATAATATAATTATATTTGCTGCAAAGATTAGAGGTGTTACAAAACAAAAACAAAAAAGAAGAGAGATGAGGACGATAGATGTTTCATAGGAAATAACGAGCAAATCACACCGGAACACCCGCCAACCACCCACAACTAACAGTTTTGAACCCTTCACAAGACACGTTCACGCACAGCCTTGCTATGGCCGACACAGGATATACGGGGGAGGGGGGGGTCAGGGGCAGAACAAACCTGTCGATACTAAAGGACACAACCAATAGTCTTAACTCCTTACCAAGACATAATCCATGTTAAATAAAACAATTAGTGACAGGCTGCCTCTCAATGGAGACTATATAGGGTTCGATTCTCGTCTGAAACTGGTACGGGTAGAACACAGCATCCTTTGAAAAGATTCATGCTATTTCCTCGTTCCATTAGACTGGAAATGGAATGAAGCAATTTCGCCACTATCTACCCCATAGCCTGGCCGACAGTAGGTCGGAGCACCGCAGCAGATTTTGCAGCTCACTTCCTCCACTCCTCTTGGTTCTTAGCTTTTCGTAGTGAGCTGTTCCAGCAACACACACACACACACGCGCACACACGCGCACACACACACACACACACACACACACACACACACACACACACACACACACCAATCTTGAAAAGACAAAAACGGGGCGGAGAATCCTTTTGTGTGCATGTCAGCGAAAAAAGCAGCACATCGACATAATAAAATAAAAGTAATTTAGAGTAGGACAAAAGCAATATTGACACACAGAAGCAGCAGAGGAGAAAGAAAGACTCAGCCCATCGGCTAGAACTGTGATAGTAAAACGAAGACAACAGATTGACCAAAAAAAAAAAAGAGTTGGAAATAAACACCACACAAGAACGAATCATTTGGCGTCCAAGTAAATGTGTGTCATCGTGGCAAAATCAGGCACTCGCCAAAATGATGAAATAGAAGAAAAAAACAAAAAAAACAAAAAACAGTTCTCCGACCGCCCAGAATATTTTTTAGACTTCTTTTTTGGCTCAACACATTTTATGTCCATTTAAAAACATTTAAGTGTGGATTTTACAGTAGTAAAAGGTTGATCAAAGACACATAATTACGTATAAATTTGCTGTTTCCAAGGACAGTCCATTTTCAGAAGTCAATAATTAACTTTTGTGGCCGTTTGCTCGTTTGTTTAATGTCAGACACCACGCCAGCCGACCTCTTTCAAACGCAAACATCTCTACCTCTATTCAAAACAGACGGGCATTCTATTTTCATCAAAAGAAAGAAAAATAAACAAGCTTTCAGACGACACCCTCTACAAGCTCCAACATTTGACGACGGCCTGATTCCACGACATCGTGACACAAATTATGTTTTTACATTCCCTGAAAGTGGGGCCGGGGTAGGGTCCCTACTCACCAGATACCATTGATTCTTCCAGTAAGGGTCCAGGACACTCATCTGTTCGGCCACATCCCGAGGGTGGAAATCTCTCTTCGAGCGAGACTTGACGACTTGCTGCTCGAACCAGCCGACCTGCGGTACGAGACAGTATTCAGGCATCCGATTAAAAACTAAAACGTCATCACATTTTACGACAGCCAGTGTTGGTAGGATAGGGTGAGCTACACGTGTGTGTGT